ATATTCTGTCATCTGCTAGGAGAATTTTAGAATAATTATATAAAGTGCTACTTTTTGCTAAAATGTCTTTATTAAAAAATCTAAGGCAAACGCTCAGGAAAAAACAGTAGTTTCCTAGGCGGGATTCGAACCACGGATCTTCCAGTTGCTAGGTGGGCATATTATCTACTTGCCCACTGGAGAAATTCGTTAATTTCTTATATTTCTTCCCACTTAAGGCGTTATTGGTGAAAGCCAAAGACCTAGCCGAGCTAACTCTAATAAATAATGAGTTTAATTCACCATATTTTAGTTCGCTTGCTTTTGTGGAGTTTATAGGTTTTTCCAAAGTGCGAATCATGAAGAATCAATTCTACCTTCATAGGAATTCGAAACATGGATCTTCCGAGTGATAGACAGACATGATAACCACTTACACCTTGAGCTTACGCACGGGAAAATGGGATAATCCCTTTAATCTTTTTGTATTTGCTGTTGCTGCGCAACAATAATTAAATTCTTATTTTCAATAGACTTAATAGCACAATATAAAACAATATTTTCGATATTAACGCGTAATAGTATATATATATATGTATTATATGTAATACTTCTCTTACTAAAAACTATCTTAAAATTGTTAAGATTTAAGTAGCAAAAATTGTGTTTACACTGTTAGTTGGATTTTTTTAAATAATTACTTTTCATGACATTTATGATTCCCCTCATTGTATTTTTTGTGATATAATAGAAAGTGCATGTAATTGCACTAATTCTACATCATAAACCTAAGCTTTATAATGTAGAACGGCGCGTCAAATGTATTTGAGTGCTTTTAGCACGTATTTTATCCCAAATGTTATGAGTTAAATTAGAAATTTTATATGCAGCATGCTTCAGGTTTAAAGCGTTTGCTACTTTGAGATTAATATTTTCAAACATAAATAGAATTTGGGAAAGAATATGAAAAATTGTATTTTTAATTACATAGTTCTAGAATGGGAAATTTTAAATATTACAAAGAAATTTCGTAGTTCATTACCTTTATATTGCCGAGTTGCAGAAGAGTAAAATCTGTGATAGTAAATACATTTCTGAAAACAAATCTAGTTTGGAATAATGTAAGCTTTAATTTTTTTTTTATTTAACATAACTTTAGACCATTTATTATTTTTTATAAATTAACTAATACTGTTTATAAATTAACTCACATTGATTCATTACAGTTCCTCCACTTCTCTTAATTAAAAGATTAATTATTAAAAATTATTCATAATTTCATATAATACTTTTGTAAATAAAGTGTCATAATATTCTGGTTGTTTAACCTTTTTATTTTATACACATATTAGGTCGCACCCATTAAATCAAGATACTAAACCCCAAAACTATTTTTTTATATTAAATACTTAAATGAAAAATTTGTAGTGCAAAAAAGAACTCGATTAGTTGCTAAAGTAAATAAAATAAGAAATACGATTAGTAACCAAATTAAAATTAAGAACTCATTTAGTAAAAATATTGGCTAACTGAGATAATTAATACTTTAGAAATTAAATTTTAAGCTGTGTAAAATAGTATATGTAAAAGTACGCTCTATTCTTATTCAGTTGCAAGTATACATATGTAAATTTATTTTGCTTATCCACAAAAGGATCTCCTTCTCAGATCTTATTATGTACTATGTCTTTTTAGTCCTAGGATTCATCTACTTCATATACATCATCATCAATATCGCTGGCTAAAAGGATCGATCCGTCAAGGATATTCTCGACGTAAATGTCATGAAAAAAGGTTACATCTTCGACTTGATTCGGCTATATTTTTGCACATATAAGTTAAATACGAACAGTTATGCATCTGGGTAAAGGAAATTATATATTTTTTTCTAATCAAGAAAGGTGAGATCTACGACAAGCTTTAGAAAAATATTATTTGTGAAGAAAAATGGAATAGGTTATACTTTGCTAAATGTATTATTTTGACTACATATTCTGAATTAAATTTTATTTCTTACAATTATCAATTGTTTTAAACGTGTTAGCTTGCGTAAATAAATTTTCAAATTGATAACGGCAAACTATTGCTTTTTAATCTGAATTTCTATCCTATTTCCTAAAATTAAAGCAACGTAGAAATATTATTGTAATTCAAACTAGAAGTATTTGATTAAATTACATACGGATTAGTGGAACGAGAGGAACCTGGATTTTAAATATTTAAAACGAATCAGCTAAATGAATTCACGTTAACACTGTTTAATAAGATTTAAAAAGATTTCTTAAAATGTGTAGATAAATTTTCACAGGCAGGCTTTAGTTAAATTTAGCTTGAGCTATATTAAACTATACTGATACTGTGTGTCTTCTTAAGTAATATTTTCTGGCACATTTAGAAGCTCCATATCTTTTACTTGTATTAAAACCATTGAGATTTTTAGTTTTTAATTTTTTATTATTTATCATTTCTACTTTACTGCTTTTCACTTTTCGAATATAAGACTGTTAGTGTATTCAGGAATTCTACCTGGCATAGCATTCTCTTCAGAGTAAAGTATTTATAAGGTCTTTAACAATTACATTAATTGTACCTTTATTTTGATTATCTTCAACAGGCATATTGGAACAAATTAAATTGTAGTATTTGTAACTACAAGTACTTTTAGGTTTACATTTTGTCTGCCAAATTTTAGTCTTCAGTAGCATTAATGAAAATTAAAACTAAACCTATATTGTTTAATAACATAAAAATATGCTAAATATAAATAAAATGTATTTTAAACATGGGGGGTCTCATATTATTGCCCGCGAATCCGTGGTCGAATCGAAAGAGAGATATTTTGAACAAGAAGGGAATTCTACCAGCTCATGTATCAGTTTCTGAATGAGTATTACGTAGGCAAATTCATTTTAGACTGTAGAAAAAAGAACTGCTATTTATCCTTCATCGTAAACACATTACAGCAAATCCTTGCCGAATAGGGGGGTTAATAAAAAACGCATTAATACAAAACGCGTACGGCAAAGTCGCTTTCCTCAAAGTCAACTTTCTACACAAGAATAAGTGTGTAATTCAGATTGAAAGTACGTATAATTTAAGCAAATTTTAATGCTGTAATAATTAAAAGGTAAAAACAAAAAAAAGTTAAACGAAAGATTTTTTGTTCCTGCTTAGTAAGTACACGATGGAATTATTTTTAAGGCGCTGGTGATTTCCGCTTGAGCTAATGACTAACGCAGCTCTTTAAAAGTTTCGCAAACGGGAGCGCAGTTTTTCCAGTGCCTCTCATAAAATGCCCGCCCTCTTTTGCCTCCTTCCTTTGGGTGTGTCTTCATTGTAAAATCTAACTGTTCTTGTACCTTTTTGAATAATTCACTTAATTCCTTGTAAGTTAAGGACGTTATATCTTGTTTTCATTATCACTCCTTTAACTGTCGGATGGTATTATAAGATAATCGAATTCTTCACTTTTCATTTCTCGATACGTTTTTCGATTTCTCCTTTTTCCATATTTGAAATTTCTTCGTAGCTAATTGCTTTTGCAATCTGCACAATTTCTTTATCTGCATTTTGAGTCAATGAAAATCATTTAAAATCCATGATAACTTCTGTCCAAACCTGATGCTAACACGCATCCATTGTTGATGAATAAACTTTGAACAGAGGATGAATGAAATTCTAGCGTTGCACAAATTAAATTAAAACAATTAAGAAGCCGATTACATGCGAAATCGCGTTTCGCACAGATTAGGCAAACATTTACTGTAATTTATCTGAATGAAAACTCACAACGTACGTTAACACATCACACCGTGGAAAAGTTATCTTATAGTATCAAATAATTCGAAATTTCGCCTATAGTTAAATGTCTTAAGATGCAGATTCAACAAGAGATCTGGAGATCTCATCGATTGTAAATGTATTCAAACATTTCTTTCAGTACCAAATAAGTCTACAATATGATCATCAAATATGATCATTTTCCAAGTTTTTGAAAAGAATTAGCTGCACCTAACGGAGCTTAAACTAATTTAAACTAGCTGAAATGTACATTTACCTAGGTGATACTTAGTTATTGAGTGAGTTTTCACCACTAACTAAACTCTTCAGGCAAGCAGACATAGATATTAAATATATATTCATTCTACCTCATTATTTGGGAACGCCAACTAATAATATTACAGTACAAAATTAGTTGTAATATTAGTTTAAATCGTTTGATTCTTTGGATTTTAGTTTTTTAATTAATTTATGATTAATTCTATTAACTAATTTATTGCTTGCTTGATTGTGTTAGAGATTCTTTAGATATCGAAAAATAAATAAATAACATTATGTTAAATTGCTTAGTGCTACTTAAAGAACTTTTAAATTGTTGATAATTCTACAACTATTGCATGCAGATTAACTAAAGGTATAAAAACATAACCGCAAAGTAGAATAACATGATTAAATCATTTTTAAAGCAAAAAATACACAATTTACCAACATATACGAATAAAAAAATCTGAGCTCACCAAGCCGGGTAAAATGGGGGGTGCAACCGATTGCAACTAGCGAAGTACACAACTACATGTCACAGTAGTACCATATACAAAAGTTCAAGTCTCTGAGCCTGCTCGTTTTTGAGTTATTATGCGAGATACATATATATGCACGGACATACATAGAGATGTCGTGAAAGTAATCTCTTCTGAGTTCATTTTAAATCCATTTTGCAATCCATTTTGGAATCGTTCAAATGGATTCGAGAGTGGTCAAAATGGATATTTTCGTTGGAATATGATACCCTAAAATTTTTGAGATTACAATACTTCCTTTACTTCGTACAAGGAAGTAAAAAGTGTAAACATATTGGTACGGGCCTCACACCGGAATGTTTCTCTATCATTTTCTTATATATCTCATCAGAGAAAACATTTTACTATGCATTTAATAAATCTGAAAATAATTAAAACTATTAAAGCATTTTGGTTTCCTGTGATTAACTTAAATGTTTACGGAATTCCTTCTTTTTCTAGTCAAACCTGTATCACTAAGGGTCCGTGGTCCAACGACACCTGTAGTCGCAGGCGAAATGGTGTCGCTTACATGCACTGTGGAGGGCTCGAGACCTGCTGCTGCTATTACGTGGTTTAACAGATCAAGAGATAGAGCCACAGCCACCAGCTTCTCAGGATCTGATGAGTGACGCAACCTACCGCACATCTTCCACGCTCGTTTTCATTGCTTCTCGGCACGACCATCTGGGAGATTTCTGTTGCCAAGGCCTGAATGAAGTACAGAAAATACAACTGCAGCCTCCTCTCCTACATGCAGTCACTCTAGACGTCCTATGTAAGTGCCTACAAATATTATTTTCTGGTTAAATTTTAACATTTCAGGAAAAACGTCAAACATAATTACAGACTGAAATATAATATATACAGGATAGCAGAAATATATATTAAAAAACAACGGTTGACGTATTTTTCTCACAGCGAGCTCTTTTAAAAGATGTATAATGCAAGATCGTACCTGAATTCTTAATCTGAGTCGCGTAGTTTACTTCCACATGTTTTCTAGGTTTCAATCATTTCAAATACATTCGGTTAAAAATATAAGGTATCTATGTTTATTATGAGTAGAAAGTAAACTGTGTTTTAATTACCTTTAAACTAGTGTTGCATAAACGAATTCTGATACATCGCTAGAATGCTTAATGATGTATCCTAATTATTCTGCTTGCATGGATGTTCATATAACTGTTCACCGTACACATATTAGATTTCTGATATTCAAACAGCTCCTCAGATAAATGACGCTACTTTGTTCTCTGTTATAGAGCTATGCAATTTTCGTTTCGACTGAAAATTCATTCTAAATCAAATAACAATCTCATAAGCTACTTAAATTACACTGATAATAATCACCGTATATCTAAGTTTCCATTAAATGTCATCAATATGATCGTTATTCTAATCTCATAAGGCTTCTGATAGTCAAAATATTTTACTGCAATCCAATAAAAAATACGTAAATATATTCAACGATTATCATGCTTAATACGCATCAATGACTTTTTAAATCCTTAGAACATAACAGAGCAACTGTAGCTAGACGGTATTAACTGATGAGTCGAAAAGCCTGCTTTTCTAACTGTTACTATTATAGTTTGTGATTTTTAGTAATTGTTACGGATTATTAAATTCCCGTTTTCACCATTATTCGCATTGCACGATTCATTCGCGTCGAAACAAATTTAAGGAGATTACAACAGCTTTACCTGACTTCACATAATAGTTAAAATTACGTGTTATGATTAAACATTTTCAAAACTTTAATTCTAAAACTGAGCTCTAAACTCAGTTCAAGATGGTATATTTCATTACTTATTTTTATATGCTAAATAAAAAATATGATAATAGTAATAACAGAAAGGCATAAAAAATTACCTTAAAATTGTCCATATTTTCCTTTTTAATGTAAAAAGGATTATCATGTTCAAATAAATACCACAAAATATCTATCATAAATACCTAAACAAACAGCAAGATTCTAATTCCATAACACGTACCTTAATCATAACTGTAAGATGAAGAAATTGCAATAAAATTAATAAATTATAGTTTTGAATAAAGTGTGGAAAATTAGCGCACAGATGGATAAGATTTGAAATTAAATTCTCAATGCGTTCGTGTTTTATTTAATTTGAATCCTTTGCCAATGTGTACATTAGACAAAGAAGTATTGCTATGTTTTCTCTTGGCAAATGAATGGTTAGGGAATGAGTTTTACTCCTCTTTATTTCTTAGTCAATTAAAAGTAGGATTACTATGTTTGCTATGCAAGCATCTTTTTCTTTTCCTCGAACTGACTACGGAATTTAGAATTCTTTCGGGTGGATAAAGATTTGAAAATACATTCTGAATTTTTTATACGCGACGAATTAATTCTGTCGTAAATTTGAAAAGTGTCTAACATATTATATCGTTCAATGCCTGTAGAAAACCAACAAAAAAAGTCAGAAAAAAGTGAAAAAATCGTAAGGAAAAAGCTATTGAAGTACCTTTGACTGAGACTTAAATTTTTATTGTTATAAAACATAAAGCAAAATACAACAAAATCGAAAAATGAAATATAAGTGACCCAAAAATGAGAAATCGTTTTGCAATATGCGATATTGATGGAATGACAACAGGCAAGATGAAATGGCCGATTTTCCAGGCATTTGCATGACATATGAATATAATGCTCAAGTTTTTAACTTCAGATCATGACACGTGTTTTTCTTTTTTTACTGATTTCTTGGGATTCAAATACTAAGCCTGATCTAATTTACACTACAATTTCTTTTCTGTCTAGTCTGTAGTAGCTGGAAAATCGTCTGTCATTAATCTTGCGTAAGGCGATGTCATTTGTTCGATGAACGTTGGTATGTTATTTAATGAAATTTCTAAAGTATACGCTCTAGTTTACGTATATCTGATAGAAACCGTGACAGGACTTGACTACTGCCGCTTTGGAGTGAAAATATTCACTTATCTGGATCATTAATATACCAGTGATAAATGTAACTAATGTTATCAGTTATTGGTCGATTTTGATATATTTTTGTGACATTTACAATTTCGCTATCTGCTTTCTGCATTTTATTGACGGATTTTCTACTATGCTTTGAGGTGCAAGGAGAGCCAATGCAATCTAATTATCGTCATTGTTTCTATAAATTTTGCAGCTCAATGCAGTTACTGCAATTAATTTACATGCTTCTTTGATTAAAGTTATAAATTTGGAATTAATTAAAATTCTATCAAACGGCAAACTATGAAATATCACTAACTCTTTCAAAGGCATAACATAACAGAATGTCAGAAATGATGTAAGAATGAGTCATTCTCAAATAGTTGCTAAAGCTTCTCTTAAAATAGAAAAAATAAGAACTTTTTTGTTTGCTTATGGTCGTTACGTAACTCTTAAATTCGAAGGTATTTCAGTCTAGTAAAATACAAATGTATTCAGAATTTCACATTTTATTGATTAGTTTGAATGTTTTATTGTTTCATCATTTACATCTTTATGGACAAGAAAAAGCATGCTAAGTTTTAAAAGTAAAGGGGCAGCTTTCTACAAAAGCTTCTTTTTCTACAAAACTCTGATCCCCTCCCCTTTTGTAAGCCATAAGTGACATCTGTCGAACTGCACCTTAAATCACAGAAACTCCTTTTAACTGGGAGAGAAATCTATTTTGTATTCGCTAGTTTACATAGCGACGCATTCCAAAAGAAATGCATGAATTCCGTGTCTTACATTTTCGGGACGCATTAGAGTGCAGCTTTGGAGATTCAAGATCGCGCTTGCGACGAATGGGAGAAAGAATAAATGAATACGTAAAAACTTCGTCCAGTTTTAGTGCAGGGACTTCATAACAGAGTATACAGGTACTTCCCAGAATTCGGTAACCAAAATCAGCATAAAATTATCTTAACTGATTTTCAAGTGTAAAAATGCAGCAAAATATTTTTGTTCTAAATGTGTCGTTATTCTAGTTTTTTGATAAGACGTGTTCAAACATGCTGCTAGGTAGCTCCTACGTATGCATGAAGATATACAGCCGTTTAGAAAATATGCCCATTTTATAAAAATACGTTTATGGTTTTTTTATTGTTAATCACATAAAAAGCGTTGAACTGTTAATGTAGATAACATTAAAATTCTTATAAACGTCTAATGTTTTTATTTAACGCTTGTCAGGGTTAGTATTTTGTCTGTTTACCGGATGTTCGTCAGAAACTGGTTCTAATTCGGCGGACTTAAGAGTTTAAAGTGCGGTGACTGGTACAGTTTTTTATCATTGATGGCGAAGATAGCGAATTTCTCAACTTTGCAGATTATATTTTTCGCTTATTCTCGCAAGATAGGTCCGTCTGAATAATGGAGTACCCCATTTGACGACGCCTGATGTAGTAGAAAAGTTTCTGAGAAATTAGCTTTGTTTGGTTTTATAGATTACGGCAAAGCCTCGAGGGCTATCTGCCTAAGAGAACGGATACATTCGTGGAGGACGTTCTAAGCAAAACTGGCTCGTATGCACGTTACACATCGTAAAAACGAAGAAAACGTCCATGCAGCCAGCCCGTTTGTGGGTTTCAAACCTCGGACCTAACTACAGTGTTCAGTGACTTTACCATTCGACCGCTGGTGGGCAATTAGCTTTGGTTCCAGCCGAAAACATCGCGGATGAAAACGTCGCGGAGAAAACAACGCAAGGCGAAAACGTCGTCCTACAAAACATCGCAAAGAGAAAACATCGCAGTTCTAAAACATCGTCGTACAAAATATCGTCGTCGAAAATAAAGCGGTTCAAAACTTCGCAGTTTAAAAACATCGTCGTCGAAAATATCGTGGTAAAAAATAAAGTATCTACAAATCATCGCATGACGATAACATCGCAGACATGCTTTTTTCAGGCTTTAATAACTGTAAATGGATATTCCCATAATGATTTGTGAGCGCAAGATGGAAAGAAGGATAATTTTTACTTTCATATTTTTATTAACTAATAAATTTTAGCTGAAAAAGTAAGAAGGAGACTTAAGCATAGAAAATTAATGCAACTTATAGCACTTAATAGAATTTTAAACCGACATAGTTAACTAACAAAGGTCATTAATAAATCATTTTTATAAAGTTTTTACTGGTAATTTTTCATGAAAAGTATTATCTAAAAAAGATTAGAAAAAGGAAGGTAAGTAACTGCATGACCTTATTTATAAAAAAATTGCTAATTTTGAGATTATTTTCTTCACTTTTGTTAGTCTAATACTCTTATAGTGAAAATTATTTCTTGTTTTGTTTCAGTTTATTCTTAAAATGTCATTAAAATTTCCATGCACAGCGTGCAGTCAGTTACTTGAATGACGATTTGTTAGTTATGAAGAAAGTCAGCTATGCATAATATTTCAGTAGGATTTGGATTTATTAGATTATGCCAAAGCACACTACGGCTATCTGCTTAAGGGGTGGGATTCCTTTGTGGAGTACATTCTCAGGAACTGGTTCATATGCACATTATACTTTAGGAAAATCACGAAAATCTTCCTGCAGTTTTTTTTTTTTTTTTTTTTTTTTTTTTTTTTTTTGTGTTGTTTTTTAGAAATAATGTATACTTGCAGTGAACCTTCTTGGTGACTATCTCCCTCTAAGACGAACAGTGTTTTTGAGAATAATAAACATTGGTTTTAATCATTACGCAAGTTCACCACATTCACTCAAGATTAAAACAGATATGGAATTTTGAGTAGTCGCTTTAAATAGGATTGCGACATTTATTTTAGATTTAGACATTTCTT